TCACAATTGTATACCACTTTGTGTTGGTCTTTCACATTAAATTCCAGTGAAATATATTTATGTTTGTGGTTGTAACGTGACAAAATATGGAAAAGTTCAAGGGGTATGAATACTTTTGCAAACCACTGTATGTTGTTCTGCAGTAGCTCACAGCTCTGACCACATTTGCATCGTCATATCTGACCATATAAAAATATTTATTGAGTGACTTTTGCACCTAAAAAGGAAAATTTTGACTTTTCACAAATGTTGTGTAGAACGCAGTCATATTTATTTGTGCTGTTAAGGAGTTTAACATATAATATATCCTGTGTACAGGATACAAAACACAGGTGTGTCAATAAAACCTGATCAGGTTTTGTGCTTATTTGACTTGGAGCAGTAATGTGATTCATGCAGTTTAATGTTTCCAAACCACACAAACAGGATATATATATAAAATCTCCCTGTCCATGGACCCATCCTGTCTGAACACTGAGCTGTAAAATAAATATTACACATAGGTCAGACCCACAAGTCTCCTTATCACATTCAGTAAACAACCACTGTAAAATGTTCCTTCGCCTCAGAAAATCTCCCAGAAAACTCATCAATTCTAACAGAAATGTAAACTTTTATTGCATAGCACATTAAAAGACTTAAAAATGTGTCAACTCAGATAATGAGTCGGACTTTTTTACAGGATTATAATCAAAGGTCCAGTGTCAATTTTAAGAAAGGGGAGCTGAATAGCTATTTAAGCAGTTTGTGATTTCTAACAGTCAGTTTATAAGAAAATACTCAGTAAAATGTCTCATTTTTATCAGCTTCTTTGAACGAAATGTGAAAGAAACTTTGTCTGCTTCCAGAAACTGTTTGACTTTTATTTGTAGAGCAGGAAACAGGAGAAACGACCAATATTTGTTCAGACTTGTAAAATAAAAGGTCCATAAAACAAACTGCAGTCATTTGCAACACATGTTACACCTCACAGCCAGGTATCAGGTGAATGCAGCGGACTGATGTGAATATAGCCTTTGTTTCCTGCCCTATGTTTTTATACAACACCTCAACAAAATGAGGTGAAGCTCAGATATCAATGCACAAACTGACTGAAACACAGCAGACTGGGTTTTTTGAGTTCAACCTACACACCTTTGTTGTTTGCTTCTCCTTCATGATAATTCTTGATAACAGTACCACCCATATCGGCATCGTGGCTTTCACTGTGAAAGAGAGAAAAAAAAAGTGAACATCAGTTTTAAAACAACCACAAATAGGAAATTAAAAGTGACAACAGCGCTGTGTTGTTTCAACACAGACCGATGAACTGAAAAGATTAGCCTTTTATGTACCATCAGCAATAAGTATTATTTAACAGTGGCAGCACAAAGACATATTTTCAGATTTTAGGTCCAACCATCATTAAAACAACAACAACAACAGAATAACCACAAAAGAACTAAAACAAAAGCATTTTTCATCTAAAAATCACCTTGTTTATGCAAAATGTAATTGTGCCTAATTTATGTTTCCTAATATTTAAATTCAAAAAACATTTTGTGTCCTTTTGCATCTTGATCTAAAATAAGAACATAAACAAGGACAAGTTATTAACAGACATTCAGAAAGTCTGATTTAAAAAATAACCTCTGGCTCCATTGAAGCAAGACAAAAAAAATACAATAGAGACTAAACCTGAGAGTGATGTGGAAAAACCAGTTAAATAAGTTCAACAGAAATCCAAGTCTAAATAGGGTAACATGGCAGAAAAACGTTTTCCTAAAATCATATTAAAAACCGTTCTGACACATTTTTAAAATGGGCCATTTTTGAAGAATTTGTCTTATTGAAAGTTTGAACTGTAAAAGAGTATATGGTAATTACCGGTAATGTTTTCACTTTTTTCTAAAATAAACCATGCAACTTTAAATCAAAGGATTTGCATTTACCAAACTGTAGTTTTGGGGCAGAAGCATTTATCACACCGAGGGGAAAAAATCAATTTAAGATTGTAATAGATTTTGTATTTCCAGCTGTGCACAAAAATAAAAACACAAATAACGTGAGACTTTGTTTTTGCATTAACAWGGGTTTAAACAGTTTTTAAGTTTTGCACATAAGGAGCAGTTTCTCACAGTAGGAGATACGTTAAATCCAGTGTTGCATGCTTCTCTTACAGGAAAGTCATTCTGGAAACAGCTGCTAAATACAAGAACATAATATTTTAGCTATGTTGTGATGAAGGTTCGCTCAAAGCTCATAGCTACAGGATATATATTTCAGCTGTGCTGGGCTTCAATATTGTGGCTCTCCAACCTTGATGAATTTGCATCACATATAACCCAATATCAATGTTCATTTTAATAAATTCAGTTTAGTTTCCATCACAAGACCGATGGTGTGAGAATAAAGTTTGAGAATCATTGCAACAAGTAGAAATGTTTAACTCTTAGACAAGTTCTTTAAAGCAGATATCTACAGTTCATTTCTCCTTTGCCACACTAAAGATTTAAGTGATCCAGAAATCCATTTGTTTTATCAACAGTAAACACTACGGATATCGCAAAAGCTCTTTTTTTCCCCAAGGAAATCTGACATCACTTTTCCGATTTATGTAGATTGGATGATCAGTTCCAGATAACCAAAACACATTTGCTCTTGACTAAAACAAACATTTCACAAAACAAACCTTACTTGTAGGAGAAACTCTTATGATTGTTAATGGACAAAAGCAAAACAAGGTATTTTTAGAAGATATGCTGATACCTGAGCTTTGTTATGGATACACTGAAATATGTGCATTTAGGCATGTTTTATAAAAGCACTATACAAACTGCCAAGCACGGTGGTGGTTGCATCATGCTGCGGGGCTGTTTTGTTCCCAATAGTACTGATGTGTTGCCCAAAATAGATAAAATAAGACAGGATGGTGATTATCTCTGAATCTACTGCACCTCAAATCAACAACTAGATGARTGTCTGCTGATCACAGTTTAGTGTTTCAATGGGACAATGATTCAAAAAATACAGAAGCTAGTTTCTGAATAGAGAAGGTAAACTAACATCATGCTTCTGGGATGGCCTTCCAAAAGTCCCATCATCAACCCCATTGAAAAGATGTAAAATACTGTATACTTCAGAGCCAAGTTTGTAACAAGAAACAAACCAGCTTTATTTTTGGTTTCTGGTCAAAGAGTGGTCAAATATCTAATCAGAAGCTAAGAAAAAAGTAGGGATGTTCGTCAGCAYRTGCTGCCATTTTCTTCCCAAACTGCTGTGACCAGATTTTGCAAGGCTGCTCTCTGTGTTTGCTTGTAATTTCCTCCTGCTTCGTTATTTCTACGAATTTCAACAAACCGCGCTGACGTCAGGTAGTTAGCCACAGCCTCGTCTTCCAGTTTTTAATTTTTGTTGATGCGTTTTGAAGAGACAATTTTTTGAAAAGTGGATCAAAGTAAATCGCCAGAGTTTTTCTAGTGACCCCTTAAATAAGCTGCCATGAAGAACATTATTTTATCTGCCCTTGTTCCAAATTTGATAATGATTTGAAACGTCAAAGTATGTTTTTTTTTAATCCGGAATAGCGCTTGTTGCAAAGTGTTTTGATGCTCGTCTTCGTCACTTGACACATTTAACACGCTGTCATTGGTTGAGGAGCTTTGTTTACAAAACAGATGTCTACGTGGTTTTTAAAGTGTTTTAATTTCCTTACTTTCTAAGACACAATAATTTTGATGCTGCAGTTTGCCTTGTAATATTATTTTATACCTTTTCTGCTACTTCTGAATTGGCTATTATTAAGTTTTATTAGGTTTTTTTTAGGATACAAGATGCTTCCTACAAAAACCAGAATGTGAAACTTTTCCTAAAATTTCATGGRGATATCTTGAACACTGAGGAAGTTATGAGCAAAATTAGAAAACAACAAGGTGAAATGGTCACATTGGTTCTGCTGTGAACTGCAGCAAGAAAACATGAGCTGATTTCACCTATAACTTCCCTCATACTTGAGATAATCACATGATTTTGGTGTTATTTTTGTATGGTTTGAAATGTTATTTTGGAATCTGCTCTCAGATTTAATATCGGTGTAGGCTTACAAATTTATCCACATCCCTAAATGAACTGTGTGGTCAAGGTACAGCGTATAAGTGACATTTTACCAAATATTAATGAGTATGTATAGATTTGAGTCTGTATTTATACTTTTTGCATACTTATTCAAATTTMTTTTTAATAAATCACTTAAGTCGTATATTAACTCCCCGTGGAAAATCCATAATAATCATTAAAAGGCCAGAAGCAATATGACATTTGTGCCTGTGGGGTTATGTAAAAACCTCACTTCAACGTGTGGTTTGATTATATGTTACAACAGCCTGCCATATCTGCACTCTACAGAACGGATTCAATGGACCTTTTCCCCTGACGTTGAATAGCTTTAATTAAGTTGGCTAGCAAGCTAGCTAACAGCTGACAGTCGTTCTCCCAACCAAAACCAAATTACAGTAAAAAGGTGCCGTGATTAAATGATTTGTTTTACCATTCATTGCCTGGCTGTTTTATGGGACATTCCGTCTCAGAAAATTGAAATGTCCCCATAAGTTAGCTTCAATGCTAACAGCAGCAGCTGACGGTAGAGACACATCATCAAGTTACCCCGGCTGACCCAGGCTCCGAGTGGCCGCGCACTTATGCTCAAAATTGTACTGCACTCACCTGTATGCGCGTACGAAACGGGCACTTTCCATATGCTGAAGTGAGCCGACACGGATGCAAAGTATTTCCCAAAAGCTAACGGCAGGATATACCACCGGTAGTACCTGCTAGGCAGTTCTGTTTTGGGGACTCCCCATGCCCGCAGCAACGGCGGGAGGAAAATGACGACTGACATGATGTGGAACAGCGAGACCGTGACCGGGTACGGGAATCCATTAAGGATGATTTTGTTGACAATGTTGCCTCCTGAGCTCACCGTGTACCAGAACACACACAGGACAAATATTCGGATCCCTTCCCTGACCGGGGTCCGCTCCACCGCAGCCATCTTCCAGCGCGGAGTGACGAGTCACCCGGTGGAGTGTCTGGTTGTACCGGGGGAGGGCGCGAGCTGCTTTCATGTTGTACCAAAAAATGCATCCCCACCAAAGGAGGTGCATTTGAACGTAGGTTGATCATTTAAAAAACAAGTCTTAAAAGTAGCCAACGGGCTTAAGTTTATTTATGTAACCGTAAGAAAATATTTTTATGTCCGGATTTACGATGTAAACTGGGTGGTTTTGTCAACAATGTGGCTAGCTAGGGTGCCAGGATATACGTCCCGTGTTGACTACTACTCGGGGTACTTTTTCTGACAGAACACCAACCGGCAGGAACTCAATGAATGACGTACACAGTTTCCTGTCGCAGATTTCAAAATAAAATTTTCATTTACCAATTCCCCAAAATCAATGAAAAGAAAAAGTGTCGTGTTTTTTTGGGGATATTTTGCTTACAAACGTTATTCCCATCACTTTATAGCAATGATTTAAAAAAAACTTTTAATAAATATTATTGATTTGACTGGTTGTATGAGGGGTGGACCCAGAAGGGTGCCAACCCTAAAATTGGCCACCCCCAAATGATTAACAATTTGGATTTTAAAAATGGACAGTTGGAGAAGAAAAGTAGTAAATATATGTCAAGTTGTATTATCTGGTATAGAGGAAACTTAGTGTGAAGACCAGAACTCATTATGAAAAGAGTTGTTTGTACACTCTAAAAAAAAATAAGCATTGAATTTACTTAATCAAGTTAAACCAACTGGTTCCACCAAAATAAGTTGAGTAAATTGAGAAAAAAAATGTGTAAATTGATTTAAATTTACTCAACTCGGTTTAGTGGAACTAGTTTGGTTAAGTAAACTCAACACTTCATTTCATACAGTGTGTGTAAAAGTAATTTTACTTTCACAATTATTGCAAGCAGTTATGACTTTTACTGAAGTACTTTTCTTATCAGTGWAATTCATTTTTACCAAAGTCATTTTCTGTTAAAGTATTTTACTTTTAGCTATTTTGTGCTTTATACATGTCTGGTGAAGTGTCTGACTAAAACTTAAAAAAAATCTTAACTACTGGATAAATATAAAGCAATTCTTATATGTAACAATACTGGGTTTAAGAAACAGTTACCATAGACAATCTGTAACATAGAAATGACATGTAGCAACTTGAAATGTACTTTGATAAGCTTGGAGACTGCCATGTAGCTGCCATTTTAAATTTATGATTTAACTGCATTGTTATGTTAGTGATTGCAGCTCCCATTATATTTCAACTCAATACAAAATAGCTGAATTATACCCATTATACTTAGCTTTGGTGACCATCTCGGATTTTTCAAATTCATTATGTGTTGGGCTTCACTCTCAGATACAGTGGTTTGCAAAAGTATTCATACCCCTTGAACTTTTCCATATTTTGTCACATTACAACCACAAACATAAATATATTTCACTG